GCCCAGTAACATTGTGAGACATGTTACTGTGTTTGGCATATCGAATACGTCACGGGGAGCTTGCCAGGCTTTGCCGTGCGGGCGAGATACTCTTGGGAGCTTGCCGGGCTCTCCGAGAGGGGCGGAGGAATTGAACCCAGCTCAGCCTGGCCGGCCAGATGCAAGGCAAACACCTGATCCGCTGTGCCATTGCTCCAGCCCTGAATAAATAAAATAGAAGAAGTAAACCAAGAGGCAAGACAGGTAGAGCTGGATAGAAAGATAAAAATAATTGAGTGCAAACATCCAGGGGATTATTTATTTACGCCTCTATCAATAAAGGCATGTTTATTTCCAAATAGTAAACCAAGCCTCCAACAAACAAACGAAAGCATTGTCCCTGGAGGTATCCCCGTGGCCAAGCACCAGAGCACTGAAAAGGAGTCGAGAGACACGCAGTTTCCTCTCCACACACCTCGCAAGGCGGTGAGGTGTGAGGATTTAGTTCTGGAGACCTTCATTTGGATGTTACTGCAACCACCCGTGTTCTCCTGGGCAAACTGAACCTTTGTTTTCTCTTCAGGAGAAAGGTGTGTGTTGTTGTGTGTGTGTGTGTGTGTGTGTGTGTGTGTGTGTGTGTCAGGGAATGGGATGAGGAAGGTCTCCTAGTATTCCCTCCCTTTTGCTAGAAAATGAGCTAAAAATTTGAGGACCCTTCCTCCCGCTATTCCAGAACTGCCACCAGGGGTCGCTGGAGAGCCTTAGGCTGGGAGGGGAGGGGTCAGGGACCCTTTCTAACTTATTAACATGATTTTTGGAAAGATTATGGGTAAATACAGAACTGAAGGAATGCGCTGCTTTCAGAATTAATTCTGGATGGCAGAACTGGGAAGGGACAAAGTTTCCTGGGATTGGAGACTCCCAGCATGCTTTGTGGCATCTTCCCTCAAGACCCACTGTGAATTTTTGCTTATTGCATAAAGGAGGATATATTTACCCCAGGGAATTTCTTTGTTTGCTTGGGATAGAGAAAAGAATTTGCAGTTTCAAGAGAGAGTTTTTTCCTTAACCAATCTAGATCTAAAAGGCTTAATTAATTAAAACTTTTTATCTAACCCATAGAGAGGTATTGGTGTTTTTAAGGCTTCAGATGCTGGGACTATAACAGCAACAGAAATCTTTTTTTTTAAATTAAATTTATTTATTTATTTTGAATACCCATCCCTCCACCAGTGCCCATTTCCCACCACCACGGATCCCAGTAACCCTCCCACCCCCCATTCCATCCCCATTCCCCCCCCTGCCCTGCCTCCAACAGAAATCTTTTTTTTTTTTTTTTGGCTTTTTGGGTCACACCTGGCGATGCACAGGGGTTCCTCCTGGCTCTGCACTCCAGAATCACTCCTGGCGGTGCTCGGGGGACCCTATGGGATGCTGGGAATTGAACCCGGCAAATGCCCTACCCACTGTGCTATCACTCCAGCCCCTCCAACAGAAATCTTTAAGGGCAGAAAGTATCTTTCTAAAATTCATTTAAACCTAATTTTGGATAGTCCCTTCAAAATAATTCTCACCGCTTAGACGGCAAGCAAATGATAAATAAGGGAGGGGTTAATCTTTCCAATACGAAGATCAGATACTAAAACGCTGTCACTGTCACTGTCCTCCCATTGTTCATCGATTTGCTCGAGCGGGCCCAGTAACGTCTCCATTGGAGACTTTGTTGTTACTGTGTCTGGCATATCGAATACGTCACGGGGAGCTTGCCAGGCTCTGCCATGCAAGATAGGAATTATTAAGTATTATTTACACTTAATTTATAATTAAGTATAAATAAATATACTTATTTTTCTTTTTCTTTTTGGGTCACTCCTGGCTCTGCACTCAGGAATTTCTCCTGGCTGTGCTTGGGGGACCATATGGGATGCTGGGAATCGAACCCGGGTCGGCTGATGCAAGGCCAACGCCCTACCCGCTGTGCTACTGCTCCAGTCCCTAGTTAATTATTATTAAGTATAATTGCTATACTTAATAATACCATAAAGGAAGGGCGACAACGACCATAACAGTGAGTAGTTGATTAAGAAATGAATGTATATGATTGAATTCTGATCATGAACAGCTTTGTAACCATGTGCCTCAAGATGACTCAATTAAAAATACAGAAATTACACACACACACACACACACACACACACACAAAGAAATGAGTGTGAGTCAGGCTATTTTCCAGTTCCTTCTCTACTCTTCTGCATACTTCTGCCATTAACTCTGAGTGTGCTTAGGTAATTGAATTAGTAGGCTTTTGTTTTGTTTTGTTTTGGGTCACACCCAGTGTTGCCCAGGACTTACTCCTGGCTTTGCATTCAGGAATCACTCCTGGCTGTGCTCAGCGGAACACACAGGGTTCTGGGGATCAAACCCGGGTCAGCCATGTGCAATGCAGAGTGCTCTACCCCAAAAAAGAGCAAGTACTATTGTTTTCTCAAACTTCTCTCTCTTTCTCTCTCTCTCTCTCTGCTTTTTTTTTTGGGTCACACCCAGCGATGCTCAGGGGTTACTCCTGGCTCTGCACTCAGGAATTACTCCTGGCAGTACTTGGGGACCCTATGGGATGCCGGGAATCGAACCCGGGTGGGCCGCGTGCAAGGCAGACGCCCTCACCGTTGTACTATCGTTACAGCTTCTCTGAGACCAGCTTGGTTTCAGTTGGGGTTCATGGCGAAAATGAATTCTCTTCCTCCTAAGATTTTGAATCAAGAAACCCTGTCAATGGATCTTAGAGTCTATGTATTTGAGAACCTGAATGTTAAAAAAAAAATCGTCTTTTGGAATGGTCAGTGGTTGGAAGTTTGCCACAAGTGTCAGTGAGGCAAAGGGCAGATAAAATAGAGAAGGGACCAGCAGGACAGTAACAGAAATGGTCACTCTGGACAAGAACTGAGTGTTGAAATTGGGTAAAGGAATATAACCTGATAACCTTTCAGTATCTGTATTGCAAACCATAAGGCTCAAAAGGAGAGAGAGAGAGAGAAAGAGAGAGAGAAAGAGAGAGAGGAGAGAAAGAAAAGTGTTTGCCATAGAGATGGGAAGTGGGAAGGGGAACTGTGGACATTGGTGATGGGAAATGTGAACTGGTGAAGGGTCGGATGTTGGAATATTATGTAATTGAAACCCAATTATGAGCAACCTCGTAACTGTGTATCTCACTGGGATGAAATAAAAAAATTAAAAATTTTTTTTTTTAAATTGGCATGGGATTTGGTTGGAGACGGATGGCTAGCTAGCCCTGACTTCCTCCTTACTGGTCAGCTCATCGGGGGTCTCCTGGTGATCCCCACTCACATCTGTATTCCAGGCACTCCAAGCTGTCACTTCTATCTGCACTGTCCCCTCCTGTGCCAACCCCCTCATTAGCTGGACCCGATTCGTAATCCTAAAGTTCTTGCTCTTGTATTCTGAGCCGAAACTTTGGCTTGCCTTATTTGTGAGAAAGACCCTGAATGAGAGCTTGGTCATAAGCCAGGGCCTAGCTGCCTGGGTGTCCCCTGGCTGGGACAGCAGCCCCAGGACTGTGTCACGTCATTTTTTTTTTTTTTGCTTTTTTGCTTTTTTGCTTTTTGGGGTTACACTAGGCGATGCTCAGGGGTTCCTCTTGGCTCTGCACTCAGGAATCACTCCTGGCAGTGCTCAGGGGACCCTATGGGATGCCGGGAATCGAACCCGGGTCGGCAGCGTGCAAGGCAAACGCCCTCCCTGCTGTGCTATCGCTCCAGCCTAATGTCTGTAATGTCTTATACAAGGGCTTCATGGCTCCAGGATGAAATACAACAATATTCACACACTTTTCTCTTAGTCGGGTGGGAAGGTGCAGTGTTGGTGGGATTGGTGTTTGAATATCACATGTAATCAATTATTGTGAATAACTTTATAAAAATTAAATTAAGGCAAAAACAGCGCCATGAGACCATTCCCCGCTTCCTGACGTCAACTCCTTGACAGAGCTGAGGAAAACAAGACCCGGAATGTAAATACCTGATCACAGGCCTAGTGCCAAGATCACATGCCTCGTTCTTGTGGCAAGGAAGAACCCCAGTCGTGACAGCTGTTTTTCTCTCTGCGTCTTTCTGGACAATTTCAGAAGGACAACTCGCCCTGCCAATACTGGGGGCTGGCTGGCAGAATGAATTTGGGCCCAGCAAAAAAATTTCCAATATATTCTGTGAGTTCCTAGCAGTTACCCTAGAATGTCACCAGTGAGGCTAAAAACACAATCTATTGGCCAGAAATAAGTCAGGGGTCGCAAAAGCAGGGGCTCAAAAAGCATTTGCTGGGGCTGGAGCGATAGCACAGCAGGTAGGGCATTTGCCTGGCATGCAGCCAACCCAGGTTTGATCCCGGCGTCCCATAGGGTCCCCCGAGCACCGCCAGGAGTGATTCCTGAGTGCAGAGCCGGGAGTCAGCCCTGAGCATCGCCAGGTTGGACCCAAAAAGCAAACAAAACAAGACAAAACAAAACAAAACAACAGCAACAACAAAATTTGCTGTGGGCTGGATTGATAGTACAGCAGGTAGATAATTTGCCTTGCACACAGTAGACCTGGGTTCAGTCCCCGGCATCCTATAGGGTCCCCCTGAGCACCACCAGAAGTAATTCCTGAGTGCAAAGCCAGGGGTAACCCCTGAGCATCACCAGGTGTGACCCCAAAAGAAAAAAAAATAAAAGAACTAAAAAAAAAAAGCAATTTCTCTAGGGCAGACTAGAAGGGGCGCCTTGCAAAGAATCCCTGACCCTTATCACATCAAGCAAACTAGTTTTAGTCTGTTGTGCTGAGTGGAAGAAAGCTGGGGTCCAAGACCACTTGCTGAACCCCAAGAACTCCTTTCCGTGTGATTCAGTGGACTTAGTGACCGAGTCCGTGATGACAGCCAAGAAGAGCATTTCTGAGTGCAGGGACTTAGCCAAGTCCTCAGAAGGGACCATGATTCACAGGTGCTCACAGCTCGACCAGGGTGCTTACCTTGAACCTCCAGAGTCCCCCGATGTCTTCTGTTTGCTCAAAGCAAGTGGGGGAAAGGCCCTCATCTACACAGCACTTCAGAGAGGCCAGCCCGCTGACCCCAGCCCCGATCACGGCCACCTTCTTCACCATGGTAGCCCAGTCGAATGACTCGCTCCGTTGATGCCACCGGGAAGTAAGAAAATTACCCTGGGGGAATGATCAGAGAATCAGGGGTAAAGTCCACGAGGGGTTATTTAACCTGCAGCCCTAAGCGGTTCCCGGGCTCTATTCTTAAGAGCCAAATGGTTTCCAGGAGTTGGCTGCAAACTTGTTTACAATAACTCGCTCTCACTTTGAAAACCGTTGGTACAGCCAAAAGGATTCAGTGACAGGCTATGGGATGGAGGAACCAAGCTTCCAGCTCCTTCCTGGGACGGGCTGTCTGGTCGCCTGCTTGCCCAACTCCTGTCCTTACCTGGCCCCTGTGTCTCTTGATGTCCAGTTTCCTCTGGTAGCTGGGACGCGGGAGGCAGGCAGACTCATTGTCCGAGTTGGAGGAAGCTCCTAGAATAAGTACACGATTAAGGGGAGGAGCTTTCCTTCTTCAGGACACTGCCAGCCCCAAACCCCAGGGGCTTTCAGGAGCCCTGACTTTTTTTTTTTTTATTTAATTTTATTTTTATAAAGTTGTTCATAATAGGGGGCTGGAGAGATAGCACAGCATTTGCCTTGCATTTGGCCAACCCGGATTCAATTCCCAGCATCCCATAGGGTCCCCTGAGCACCGCCAGGGGTAATTCCTGAGTGCAGAGCCAGGAGTAACCCCTGTGCATCGCTGGATGTGACCCAAAAAGCCAAAAAGCAAAAAAAAAAAAGGTTGTTCACAATAATTCATTACATGCACAAAAATCCATTACACGTAATATTCAAGCACCAATCCCACCACCTGGCACCTTTCCCTACCCCCCTAAGAGGAAAGCATGTGAAGATTGTTGTGTTTCACCCTGGAACCATTTAAGCCCTTAGCACAGCGGGTAGGGCGTTCGCCTTACACGCGGCCAACATGGCCGACCCGAGTTCGATTCCTCCGCCCCTCTCGGAGAGCCCAGCAAGCTACCGAGAGTATTCGATATGCCAGACACAGTAACAACAAAGTCTCCAATGGAGACGTTACTGGGCCCGCTCGAGCAAATCGACGATCAACGGGAGGGCCTTTACCTTTACCTTTACCTTATGAGAGATTACAAATATGCATGTTAAACCCAGACAAATGTGTGCTACTCTCAGTACATCAGTGGGGTGCAGTGTGAGAAGTCGCACGGCCACAAACGTGGCCGCATGTTGCAGGAATTCTAAAATTTAGAATACGATTATAGAGCAGATCTATGCTGCTCTCTTCCGGGAGTGCTTCTGCAAGTTCCCTTGTGGGTGAGGCTTGTCCAAGTTTGTGGAACGCAACCTTGAGCATGGCTCCGACTGAGTTCTGGAGGTTTGCAGCTGCCGGGGTTCTGCTGGGGTGAACTGAGACACTCAACCCAGCCCCCTCTGAGTTACCCCTGACATGGAGTCACACCCTGACTTTAAAAAAAAATCTGTTCTTGAATTACCGTGAGATAGAGTTACAAAGCTTTCATGTTTGAGTTTCAGTCATACAATGATCCAACACCCACCCCTTCACCAGGGCACATTCTCCACCACCAATGTCTCCAGTATACCTCCCTTTCCAACCTCTCTTCCTGCCTTGATGGCAGATAATTTCCCCCGTTCTCTCTCTCTCTCTCTCTCTCTCTCTCTCTCTTTCTCCTTTTGGGCATTACGGTTTGCAATACAGACACTGAGAGGTCATCACGTTTGGTCCTGTATCTACTTTCAGCACACATCTCCCATCCCGAGCGGTCCCTCCAACCATCCTCGACTTAGTGATCCCTTCTCCATCCCAGCCGCCTTCTCCCCCAGCTTATGAGGCAGCCTGCCAACTGTGGGGCAATCTTCCTGGCCCTTGTGTCTCCTGTCCTTGAAACCCTGACTTTAAAAGCTCACACCCCAATGTCCCCAAATCTGGGGTGAGAAGCAGCGTTTCTATAATGGCAGCTTTCTGTCCACGCATCACCCACAGTGCTGACGGAGTTGGTTTACGATCACTGTAGCTGATGGTGATTAAGGTAAAGGTAAAAGGTAAAGGCCCTCCCGTTGATCGTCGATTTGCTCGAGCGGGCCCAGTAACGTCTCCATTGGAGACTTTGTTGTTACTGTGTCTGGCATATCGAATGGTGATGGTGATTAACTCTGGCTAAGCGGCTAAGTCAGAGAGCTTCAGGGTTTTCAAGAGCATGTGTGAATTCTGATGAGCTGACGGCTTCTCTGTCCATCTAATAAAGGCTCAGCTCAAGGGTCAAGAAATCACTGTGTGTCCCTGAGCTTCCTGAATTTGCGTTCTTGTTCCAGTGGTTTTCTTGGGATTGGCAACTGTGGGACCAGCCCGTGATGTTGGCCTGGTTGTAGATGACTCACCAGCCTGGAACCAGGTCCGTCCTGATGGCAGCTGGGCCAGAGCTTAGTGGGATTTCGTGTCCTCTGCCCTCTTTTTTGGTTTGCTCTAGACCTGGATTGCTTCCCTTGTCTTGTAATCTCAGTTCCTTTTTTTAAAAAAAATTCATTTTATTTTTATAAAGTAGTTCACAATATTTGATCACATTTAATATTTGCTCAAGCGGGCCCAGTAACGTCTCCATTGGAGACTTTGTTGTTACTGTGTCTGGCATATCGAATACTCTCGGTAGCTTGCCGGGCTCTCCGAAGGCACCCCTTGAAAATCACCATGACACTTTCCCACCACCATATATTTTGGATGCTTCCATCCTGAATTCGAACCTCTGCCCCAAAGCAGAACAGAAATAATTTATTTTGTATTATTTGTTGTGAATAAATTGCTGAAAATGCTTCAAAAAAGTTTCCTTAGAGGAAACTGTGTGAAGATTATTGTATTTCCCCCAGGGTTCGTTAAAGCCCTTCTATAAGAGATCACTAACATGTTGTTAAAGGATGAGCTATATATATCGGGCTGGAGCGATAGCACAGCGGGTAGGGCGTTCGCCTTACAAGTGGCCAACATGGCCGACCCGAGTTCGATTCCTCCGCCCCTCTCGGAGAGCCCGGCAAGCTACCGAGAGTATTCGATATGCCAGACACAGTAACAACAAAGTCTCCAATGGAGATGTTACTGGGCCCGCTCGAGCAAATATATATATATATATATATATATATATATATATATATAGTCAGCTGTATCACTTGTCATCCCATTGCTCATCGATTTGCTAGAGCAGGGACCAGTAACGTCTCCATTCATCCCTGTTACAAGCTAGTGTTTCCCAATGGCATCTGCTCGTTCCAGGAACACGAAGAGCCTCAAACCATTCATTGAGGGTCTTGACGAAGACATCTCGTAGGTGAGTAGTCAGGTGTTCTTTTCAGGTCCCGTGGAATCCAGTCGGTAACAGCTCTTAGATATATATGCATCTGTAAAAATATATTTCCCCTCTAAGATTGATTGCCTTTGCTTACTTTTTTTTTTGTTTGTTTGTTTTGGGGCTTTCTGGATCACACCCGGCGATGCACAGGGGTTACTCCTGGCTCCGCACTCAGGAATCACCCCTGGCGGTGCTCAGGGGACCACATGGGATGCTGGGAATCGAACCTGGGTCGGCCGCGTGCAAGGCAAACGCCCTCCCCGCTGTGCTATCTCTCCAGCCCCTGCCTTTTACTTTAAACCCCATCAAATGTGGTGTGCTACTCTTGGAGTATGAGTGGTGTGAGGTATTAGATGTCATGGCCAAAAACTTTATTTTAAATTATTCAAGACCCTTTCTACTTAGATGCCAGAGCGCATTTGGGACCAGCCCGTGATGTTGGCCTGGTCGTAGACGACTCGCCAGCCTGGAACCAGGTCCGTCCTAGGTTTGATGGCTTTATTGAATAAATTTAAAATAAAGTTTTTGGGAAATGTCATTTTCCCAACCCTTCCCAAGTTGAATTTGGTGGGGGTTATTAATGGCTTCCTCTGATAAATAGAGCAATTAATTCAATACAAGAGGGAAAAAACACAGACTGTATTTTTTTTTCTTTTTGGGTCACATCCGGTGATGCTCAGGGGTCACTTCTAGCTCTGCACTCAGAAATTACCCCTGATGGTGATCAGGGTGCTGGGAATTGAACCCAGGTTGACCATGTGCAAGGCAAACACCCTCCCCTCTGTGCTATCACTCCAGCCCCAAAAGCACAGACTTTAAAAGTGATGGTGGTTTAGTTGCTAAGGAAGAAGAAGAAACTGAAACTTTTTGGTTAAAGAAAAAGGGGCTTGGAATTTAGCTCAGTGATGGGGTACTTGCCTTGCATGTGCGAAGCCCTGGGCTTGATCTCAGGCAACACACACTCACAAACATACACTCACACACACTCACACTCACACACTCACAAACACGCACACTCACATACTCACACACACTCACATACACAGACACTCACACAAACACACTCACACATACTCACAAACACAATCACCCACATACTCACACACTCACATACACAAACACACACACTTTCACTCACAAACACCCGCACATACATACTCACACTCACATACACAAACACACACATTCACTCACACACACTCACACAGACATACTCATATTCACATACTCACCGACACTCACACACAAACTCACTCACAGACACTCACCCACAAACTCACACACAGAAACGCACACTCCCACACATACACACAGAAACACTCACACACTCACATACACTCACGCACATACACACAGGCACTCACACACAAACACACTCACACTCGTTCACACACATACATACAGAAACACACACTCACACATACTCACACAGACACACATTCAAACACACATACGCACATTCAGTCACACACACGCACACTCACACTCACACAGAAACACACACACATACACACAGAAACACACACTCACATACACTCACGCACATACACACATGCACTCACACACAAACACACTCACACTCGTTCACACATGTACACACAGAAACACACACTCACACATACTCACACAGACACACATTCAAACACACATACGCACATTCAGTCACACACACGCACACTCACACTCACACAGAAACACACACTCACACTCAGACTCACACACTCATATGCATTCACACACACAGACACACACTCACACAGACACACACTCACACACATCGATTGTTTAACCCTTTGATTAATGACGACACCAATGCTAGCTGAGTGAATGTGTAAAAGCCAAGCACGGCAAACCTCTGACAAAAGGCCACGGCCTCTTCCTTCTTCCCACTCATTCTTTCAGCAGTCTCCACCGTCCAGAAACTTGTTTTTTCTGTTTAAGTAATTCCTTCAAATCCCATTAACGAAGCACCTCCCCTGTGACTAACGTTTAAGAAAACAAACAACTCGAATTTTGGCTGACTCTCTTCTCTACGACACACCCACTTTTAAAAGCCTCTACTAAATGTTTGTGGTTTGCAGTGATAAGGCTGAACTTTATAGAAGTCAGGGAGAGTTTGGGGTTTACTTTTAAACATTCCAAAGCACAGCTGCTCGGTGGGTTCCGGGAGATAGCACAGCCGGGATGGCGCTGGCCTTGCACCGGGCTGACCAGGATTCAACCTTGTACCCCCTCGGGTCCCCTGAGCCCACAGGAGTGATGTCTGAGCACAGAGTAAGGAGTAATCCCTGAGCACTGTGGGCCCCACCTGAACAAAACAAAACAGAAACAAGCAAAGATACATATTTGGATTTGAGTTTTTTTTTTTCTTTTTGGGTCACACCGGCAATGCACAAGTGTTACTCCTGGCTCTAGTACTCAGTAATTACTCCTGGGGGACCCTATGGGATGCTGGGAATTGAACCTGGGTCGGCCGCGTGCAAGGCAAACGCCCTCCCCGCTGTGCTATCGCTCCAGTCCCTGGATTAGAGTTTAACTTTATCTTCTGAGACTATTTCATGGAGAGAAGCCCATTTCTATAGACAAAGGGGAAATGAAGTCAAGGCGGTCGTTTGAGGCAGTTTCTGAATGACTTCGTATGGAGACGCGATATGGATGGGCCTGAAATTCAAACTACCCTCACGTGATTTTAAAAACTTCATGTTTTTGTTCTCTGCCATGCTTGGGGGTGGTTCTTGACTGTGTAGGGGACCAGGACCGGAAGTGAGGCCAGGACCGAGGTTCTTTTTTTTTTTTTCTGGAGGGTGGTCACACCTGGCGATGCTCAGGGCTTATTCCTGGTGCTGCACTCAGGTATCACCCTCGTGGTGCTCAGGGGACCCGACGGGATGCTGGGAATTGAACCCGGGTTGGCCATGTGCAAGGCAAAACACTTTCCCCGTCATCCTATCACCCCAGCCCCACCAGGACTGACTTTAAACTGGCCCATCCATAACTTCTTTATTTTTCACTGTGTTTTTTTTTTTTCATCGAATCACCATGGGACACAGTTACAGCTTCCATGATCCAGTTTCAGTTCTACATTGTTTCAACACCATTCCTCCACTGGTGCACATTCCCACCAATATCCCCGGATCCCTCCTGCCACTCCCTCCCACAGCCTGCCTCTATGGCAGGAACATTTCACTCTCTCTCCCTCTCTGCCCCTCTCTCTCTCCCTCTCTCTCTCTCCCTCTCTCTCCCTCTCCCCTTCCCTTTCTCTTCCTCCCTCTCTCTTCCTCTTTCTCTCCCTTTCTCCTCTCTCCCTCTCTCTCTCCCTCTCTCCCTCTCCCTCCGTCTCTCTCCCTCTCCCTCCCTCTCTCTCCCTCTCTCTACCTCTCTCCCCCTCTCTCCTTCTCTCTTCTCTTTATTCATCCCTCTCTTGATCTCTCTCCCTCCCTCTCTCTGTCTCTCTCCTTCTCTCCCTCCCTCTCTCTCCTTCTTTCTCTCCTCTCTCTCTCTCTCTCTCTCCCTCTCCCACCCATCACTTCAATATCTCAACTGAAAAACAAAACGACCAACAATTGTGGGTCAAAGCGATCGCGTGGATCTTCCATGTAGCGGACCCCAGCTCAGTCCTGGCTACCACGTGACCCTCTGTGCATGGCCGGAGTGACCCCCAAGCCCTCCCTTCTCCCGCTCTCAGAAAGAACTAGTTGTGAAACATAAAAGATCTAGATGAAAGCACTAATCCAGCCTTCTGAAACGTTGAGAAATTCGGTGGCCCAAGGCCTGCAACTTTTTTTTTTCTTTCCCTCTGCAGCAGAAAAGAGGAATAACTCCGTTTCATTTGCTAACAGAATGATTAACAACCTGTTTGCTGCACCCCCTGACCCCCTCAGGAACATTCCAGAAGGTGTCCTGCCTTGGCTGCTTGTGGATCAAAGGGGCTGAGTTGGTCATATGAGTCAGCCTCCCTTGGGGAGTAAAGTAACATTAACCCTTAGCTTAGACATTAACCCTTTCATGCTCATAGTACTCATTTGGGTCTTCCCAAAACAGTGCTCGGCGGGGAACCTGACTATTTGGGAGGCTATTTTTTTTGGCCAATTGGGTCAACCATTCACTGGTAAGGCCTGAAGATGGAGTGATGTCGGGGGCCCCCAGTGGTGTTTTTTGGCAGGGGAGTCCCTGATATGCCTGGTGATGCTTGGCTGTCTCTATGTATGGTGCCAGGGATTGAATCTCAGTGCAGACACCCCCTGCTTGTATCTCTCCTGATGTAGGTGGTGGAGAATCGTTCCCTTAAAAGTCTAGGGGGTTGAGGCTGGAGCGATAGCACAGTGGGGAGGGCGTTTGCCTTGCACGTGGCCAACCTGGGCTCGATTCCGGCATCCCATATGGTCCTCTGAGCCCTGCCAGGAGTGATCCTTGAGTTCAGAGGCAGGAGGAAGCCCTGAGCATCGCTGGGTGTGATCCAAAAAGCCAAAAAAGCTAAAAAAAAAACGGAATTACTCCTGGCGGTGCTTGGGGGACCCTATGGGATGCTGGGAATCGAACCCGAGCCGTGTGAGGCAAATGCCCTCCCTGCTCCAGCCCCGTGTTTCTTAATGAATGTCTAAGCATAGGATGAGATAGAATGGTATTTTGTTTTGTGTGGGGGGCATACCCGGCTGTGCTCAGAACTTATTCCTGATGTGCAAACAGAAATCACTCCTGGTAGGGCTGGGGAGAACATTTATAAGTTGCAGGGGATCAAACCTGGGTCACCCAAAAAGCAAAAAAAAAAATAGTCTAGGAGTGGACGGTGAGTGCCCTGGTCTCGGCAGGAGCCCTGGTGAGGGTGACCAGAGTGGGAATAAGGTTGTTCAGGAAGGGAGGGTCGATGTGTCCAGCAGTTACGAAGTTCCCCTGCCCCCATCCCAGAACGACCGTTCGGCAGAAGGAGGCGTTCTGGAGCCTCTGGGGCAGACACAGAGCAAAGCAGCACGTTCTGACCCCCACACCCCATCCGTGGGGAAGGGCAGGATGTCCACATCCAACGGGGTCCCTCCCTGCTCGCCGCCAGGAAGGGCAGCGGTCAGCCCCTGCAGACAGCGTCAGCCCCTGGCGTCCGCGGCCAGGCTCAGCGGAAGCCACATGCCAAACCTTGCTAACTCTTATCTCGGCCCGTGGCAAGCTACTCTTGCTTCCTTCGGTCCCGTGATGTCCCCTTGATGTCCCTTTGTCTGTGGAAGATGTTACATAAACAGGAACCCCAGCTCGCCGGAGGGCAGGAGAGTTTCCCATCAGCACCCGGGGGATGGGGTACCGGCCTTCCCACCTCTGTGGGTTTTCCTCTGCTGGTCTGGATTGGAGAAGCAGAACTCATTTCTGCTGCAGTGCTGAGCTGCGGGACCCCGCATGCATGAATCTCACCTCTGTCTGTGAATAGTTCCATCCCCTTGTTTATTTAGGGGTTGTATCTTATGCCCTTTAGGGCTCTTAGGAGTGAAATAACTGTTGGGAATCATCACGGACAGGTTGTTGCAAAGAAAATATACTCCTGGCTCTGCACTCAGGAATTACTCCTGGGGCTAGGGTGATGGATAGAGCAGCAGGTCGGGGATTTGCCTTGCACGTGGCCGACCCGGTTTGATTCTCAGCATCCCATAAGGGTCGCCTGAGCACCACCAGGAGTGATTCCTGAGTGCAGAGCCAGGAGCACCCCCTGTGTGTGCATCGCCGGGTATGACCCAAAAAGCCAAAAAAAAAAAAAAAGAAATTACTCCTGGCAGTGCTTGGGGGACCCTATGGGATGCTGGGAATCGAACCCGGGTCGGCCGCGTGCAAGGCAACCGCCCTACCCGCTGTGCTATCTCTCCAGTGTTTCCCCATTCTTAATGAATGTCTCAGAATAGAATGGTATTTTGTTTCGTGTGGGGGCCAAACTCGGCTGTGCTCAGAACTTACTCCTGATGTGTAATCAGGAATCACTCCTGGTAAGGCTGGGGAGATCAGATATACCGTTCAGGGGATCAAACCTGGGTCAGCCACTTGCAAGGCAAGTGCCCTAACCAATACACCATCTTTCTGGCCTGATGCTTTTTTTCTTTTCTTTTCTGGTTTGTGGGCCATACTCCTGGTTCGGTGCTCAGAGATTACACCTGGCAGTGCTCAGGGATTTTATGCACGGACAAGGATCAAACTAATGTGTTGGACTAAACTTTTTTTTGTTGTTTTTGTTTTGTTTGATTTTTATGCAGGGTCAAGGATCAAACTAGTGTATTTGACTAAATGGCTTTTTTGTAGCTCTTGGCCCCGAACTCAGGAATTGCTTCTAGCAGTGCTCAGGGGACCATATGGGCTTCCGGGGTTTGGGAAAAGAAAGACTAAACGATTTACCCTGAAGTTCATAAACAAGCTCTCTCCTATTTAATGTCATCCTGGGGCTTATTGTCAGTGCAATGAGTCCAGAAACAAACAAAACATCCAAGCCGGAATGGGAGAAGCAAACCCATCTTTAATTTCAGACTTCATGATCATCCATGGAGAGAGTGAATTGCAATCTACACGAAGGTCATTGGATCAATTTTCTACATATTGGCAAAAACCATCAGCAACTTAAAAACCTGTCAACAACTGTGTCTTATAACCAGTGATCCCCATGTGAGCTTATAAAGACGCCCAAATAGGCAATTCTTTTTTTTTTTGGTTTGGTTTTGCTTTTTTGGGCCACACCCAGCAATGCTCAGGACTGACTCCTGGCTCTGCGCTCAGGAATTACTCCTGGCAGTGCTCGGGGGACCATATGGAATGCTGGGGCTTGAACCCGGGTCGGCCGCGTGCAAGGCAAATGCCCTCCCCACTGTGCTATCACTTTGGCCCCCAGTTTGTACATTTTAAAAAATTATTTGATTGAATCACTGTGAGCAATAATTACAAAGCGTTCATGTTTGGGTTTCAGTCATACAATGATCGAACACCCATCCCTCCACCAGTTCACATTCCCCATCACCAATGTCCCCAGTATCACCCCCCATCCCACCCCTCTCGTTGCCTCTTGGCAGACAATCTCCCCCACACTCTTTACTTTTGAGCATTGTGGTTTGCAATACGAATGAGAAATTCTTAGGGTACATCTGACATAGGATGGAGAAAGCTAAAGCCACTGAAAACTACAAAACACTGCGGACAGGAAACAACTTAGGGGGGCTGAAGAATTGGGAGTTGGAAAACTCATCATCCGTGGGACGTCAGCTCAGCTCTGGCTAGAACCCTCTTGGAAAAGCTTCGTGTTCAACCTGTAAATCTGCTTTTATTTGAGGTCACACACCCGGCGATGCTCAGGGCTGACTCCTGGCTCTGCACTCGGGAATCACTCCTGGCAGTGCTCGGGGGACCCTCTGGGATGCTGGGAATCTAACCCAGGTCATTCGCATGCAAGACTAACGCCCTCCCCGCTGTGCTATCGCTCCGGCCCCTGGCCTGTGAATTTGAACTTGGACGCCGGCCCCGTTCTCCCTGTCATCCTTGATCTCATCCTGAGCATCCCATGTTTGCCTCTCGGACTTCTGGATGGCCTCTGGATGGAGCGTGGGGGCTCGCTAGAAAGGAAACGCCTGCGCATTCCACTCAGATTGTAGTTCTCGACTCGGACCTGGAGGAGGCGGAGAGGAAGAAGGAGGTGGTAGGGATGAGCTGGGTGCTGGGATGCTAGGTTGCCGCAGGACCATCTCGCTAGTAGAGCATCAGGAAGGCAGCCAGGAGCAGAGCGGGCACCGCCAGCATCCTTAGCAGGTCGTGGAAGGGCCGGGGTCTCTGCGCCTCTCTCACAGCCCTGGTCCTGGTGCTCTTCATTGTGCGGTCCCACTGGGTCAGGATAGCGTGTCTGGCCCCTTCCCACTTCCCCGGCCCCACCAGCCGGAACTGGTAGGGGCTGCAGGGACCGAAGAAGACCTCCACGGCCAGCTGGGGGTCGGTCAGGAAGAGCCAAGGGATGCTGGGCTTGGTGCCGATGAAGGATCCCAGCTCGTCCATGTAGGAGATGTAATCCGTCTGCAGTGTCTGGCTCTGGCCGAACCTGAGGGCAGGAGGGAAGGACGGGAGTGGAGGGTGACCGTGTAAACAGACACCGTGGCTCTCTTCCTGTGGGGCTAAGCGCCGTGGGAAGAGGAAGGCTGAGATTCTGTGGAACGCGGTGATGGGCACGGGAGCAGATAAGACCTGACCCGGCAAAGCGGTCCTGAGGCGAGGCCACACTGAAGGGAGTGTCTGGGCAAAGTTGGCAAGAACGGGGTGTCAGCCAGCACCCGGTGTCCAGCCTTGAGCCTCAATCGACCTCCAAGTCGCATGAGCCCAAGACGCAGAAACTGTCACATACACTTAGCAGGTCATCCTGGCTGGAGTGATAGCACAGCGGGTAAGATGTTTGCCTTGCACGCGGCCGACCCGAGTTCGATTCCCAGCATCCCATGTGGTCCCCTGAGCACTGCCAGGAGTAACTCCTGAGTGCAGAGCCAGGAGTAACCCCTGTGCATTGCCGGGTGTGACCCAAAAAGCAAAAAAAAAAAAAAAAATTCGTAGCAGGTCATCCTAACCATAGCATCTGGCCTTGATTGGGATTGGATGTATTTGGTAGTAAAGTGAACAGCCATTTGCGGCTCCCAGAGGGGGTTTCTCCGCTCACGTCGTCTGCCAGGACCCGGTGCACAACGTGTCTGGGCATCTCGGGGAAAATCTGTTCCCCATCAATCTTCCCCCTTGCCCACTGTTGCCTCCGGCTCTATTTGTAGCTGACTTAAGTCTACATCTTGGATCTTCCTGCAAAATCCTGCACTCACTCTCACGCTGGTTTAAACATTCCTGACATCGTAGGTTCTGCCGCAGCTCTTAGACTCATCGGAGACCAAGAGAAAAATGGTTGAATAAATAACCTAAAAAATCTTCGACATGTATGTTTTGCTCTATCTTACTTCTTTGGGAGAAGTTTTAATTATTATTATTATTATTGGCTTTTTGGGTCACACCCAGTGATGCTCAGGGGTTCCTCCAGGCTCTGCACTCAGGAATTACTCCTGGAGGTTCTCAGAGGACCCTATGGGATGCCGGGGATCGAACCCGGGTCGACCGAGTACAAGGCAAATGAATGCCCTTCCCGCTCCGGTCTTTTCGCCCTATCTTAATGCAAACAGGCTCTCAATGAACAAGACAACTCTGGGAAACAATTAGATTTCCTCTCGTGCCTTGTTTGAGAAGTGACACAGAGACCCGTTTTCTGATTAAAACCCCCACAAAATGAGCTGTTCTCACTTTAGTTCTTTTTTTTCTCTCTTTTTTTCTTTTTTTTTCCTTTTTGGGCCACACCTGGTGATGCTCAGGGGTTCTTCCTGGCTCTGCACTCAGGAATTACTCCTGGCGGTGCTCAGGGGATCATATGGGATGTCGGGGATCGAATCCAGGTCGGTTGCATGCCAGGCAAACGCCCTACCCACTGCATTATCCTGTAGCTCGTTTCATAAATCTTTTTTTATTATTATTTTTGGGTCCCACCCGGCGATGCTCAGGGGTTCTTCCTGGCTCTGCACTCAGGAATTACTCCTGGCGGTGCTCAGGGGACCATATGGGATGTCGGGGATCGAATCCAGGTCGGTTGCATGCCAGGCAAACGCCCTACCCACTGCATTATCCTGTAGCTCGTTTCATAAATCTTTTTTTATTATTATTTTTGGGTCCCACCCGGCGATGCTCAGGGGTTCCTCCTGGCTCTGCACTCAGGAATTACTCCTGGCGGTGCTTGGGAGGACCCTATGGGATGCTGGGGATCGAACCCGGGTCAGCTGCATGCAAGGCCAATGCCCTCCCCGCTGTGCTATCACTCCAGCCCTTCTCATCTTTGTTCTATGCTAAGTTTCTCGCCTGCCAGGGAGTTCCTTTCTCTCCTGCTCACTTTCCAATAAACCTCTCTATTTTCGGGGGCTGGAGAGATAGCACAGCAGGTAGGGCGTTTGCTTTGCACGCAGCCGACCCAGGTTCGATTCCCAGCATCCCATGTGATCCCCTGAGCACCGCCAGGAGTAATTCCTGAGTGCAGAGCCAGGAGGAACCCCTGTGCATCGCCGGGTGTGATCCAGAAAGAAAAAAAAAAACCCTCTCAATTTTCTCATTCTGTATCCGAGTGTCTTTATCATGCAACACTTTCAGCCTTGAGAATCTTGAAGCACCAAGACCTGTGGATGGCCACGGAGTTCCATCGCCTCTGTTCCGACCTCTCCATCTGGGCATCACGGGGATGCGGGATAAGCTCAAGTTTCTGCCAGTGCTGAACAGAACTGACATGTCCCAAGGACTCACTGTCATCCTACATGGCCTGGCTGAAAGGGGGCGTTTCTGAGAAGCGGCTGACAACAGCCAGGAAGACTCACTGCAGGTCTGGATGTCGGTGTCTGGCACATCAGTTAGAGACTGGAGTTCTCAGCAGTTGTGTTTCCCTTTTAATTATGGAATAACTAAGCAAACTCTCTCCTTTTAGCGATTCTGGACATGTACAGGGGATTTCACTGCAAGCTTCTGGGAGTTCACTCAGGCCCTTTGCCCTGAGCTCTTTGTAGCCAAATGTCTTTCATCGCTTCATTAGTCAGCACCCTTATTTGCGATTTTAGGAGACTAACAACTCCATCAACCATTCTAGTTCTAACACCCTTTTCTCTTTTGCTAAATTATTTTTATTTTATTTTAATTTTTTTTGGGGGGGTGCATACTCAGCAGTGCTCAGGGGTTCCTCCTGGCTCTGCACTCAGGAATCAGTCCTGGCAGAGCTCTGGGGACCACCTGGGATGCAGGGGATTGAACTTGGGTTGACCACACGCAAGGCAAACGCCCTCCCCACTGTACTATCGCTCCAGCCCCCTCTTTGCTACATCCTTGAGTGGTTCATTCACTCCTCGTGAATGGATTACTCCCCCCCCCCCCCCGCCCCACCCACCTTCCTAATCTCTGTCAGGGTCTGACATCATGTTGGCCTTTTGCCTCTGGCCAGGGTGGTTTACAGTGAACTGACCCTGGTCTTCAGGTGATTGGTTCCACTGACTCTCTACCCCATGACTCCAGCCCCATCAAATAGACACTCTTACCATTTGAGTTTCTTTCCCATTTTCTCATCAATGTCGTCTATCATTTCCTTTTCACTTGGCAAGGTACATTTGTCTAGAAAGGGAAAAAAGAGAAACAGAAAAGATCAAGAATCAGAAGTATATAGTTGCTCATGATCGAATTTTTAAAATTTAATTTAATTAATTTATTTATTTTTGCTTTTGGGGTCACAACTGGTGATGCACAGGGATTACTCCTGGCTCATGACTCAGGAATTTCTCCTGGCAGTGCTCAGGGGACCATATGGGATGCTGGGAATCGAACCCGGGTGGACTGCGTGTAAGGCAAACGCCCTACTCGCTGTGCTATCGCTCCAGCCCCTCATGATCGATTTTATCCCGTCTCTGTGGACATGCCACTAAGAGGATTTTGTAGGAGAGGCTCAGACTTTGGTTCCTTGTAGTAGAAAAAAATAACTGTCCACAGAAACACAGACCTGAGAAGTAAATGTTCTCACTCGGAACTGCAAGCTGAGATCAGTGATCTCACTCAGGGAACTGCAAGCTGAGATCAGTGATCTTGCTCAGGGAACTGCAAGCTGAGATCAGTGATCTCACTCAGGCAACTGTAAACTGAGATCCAGGAACTGCAAGATGAGATCTCATTAGGGAACTGCAAATTGAGATCCACAATCCCGCTCAGGGAACTGCACGTTGACTGCAGAGAGGCAGTCATGGTGAACTTTGCAGCTTCAAAGCACCTAAGCCACTCTCTGGACATCCTACTCCTCACCAGGCCTGAGGCACACATTATACACATAATAACTTAAAACTTTCCCCATATTTATTTTCTTTTTGTTCTTTTGGTGCTACTTGATGGTCCGTAGGTCTTACTCTGGGCTCTGTACTTAGGGGTCATTCCTGGCAGGCTCAGGAAACCAAACACAGAGCCAGGGATTGACCCCAGGCTGACTGCATGCAAGGCAAGCACCTCCCCACCTCTCTCTGGACCCCCCCAACCCCGTATATCTTGTTGGAATCCTCTTATTATAAATGATCTCACTGGGGCCAGAGCGATAGGACAGCGGGGAGGGTGTTTGCCTTGCATGCGGCTAACCCGGGTTCGATCCCCAGCATCCCATAGGGTCCCCGAGCACTGCCAGGGCTGATTCCTGAGTAACTCTTGAGCATCACTGGGTGTAACCCCAAAAGCAAAACAAATAAATAAGTAAATAATTTAAAAAAATGATCTCACTGACCAGTTCCCCTTACCCAGGACGCAACTTCCCCTCTTGTCTTAAGGCGCCAATGAGGCCAAGACTCATACATGCTGCATTTCCTCTCTCCAGCACCTGCCCAGGTACCTGGCATATAGTAGCTGCTCATTAAATGTGCCTGGGCTCCTGGAGAGACACTTGACCCACTTACTTGCCAACACTTTGGCGGCCCAGCGAGCCTGCAAGTCAGCCGTGGGGATCGTAGCCCCCAGGGACTGGACAAGGCCAATGACGGCCATGGTCGGCTTCTCCAGGAGAGGAGGGAAGATCCCTTTAAACAGGGTGACCTCATTGTTCCTGCTCTTGATGATGGAGTCGTCGAGGAAGGGGTAGGCGTAACCGTAGCCCGTCGCGAAGATGACACAGTCCACAGCCTCGAAGACGGTCCCATCCTCGAAAACGGCTGAGGTTGCAGTGAACTTCTTCACGCCAGGCTTGATGGACAAGGCACCGCAGAGGATCCGGGCCGGGAGCTCGTCATTGAACACAGGCTCCTTGCGCAGAGTGCTGGGGACCGAGAGAAAAGGAAGCTAAGGGACAGGAAGCAGGTCTCTGCCCCCGGCCCTCATTTCTGAGGGTGGCCCTAAGGGACGCTCCTGGCTCTGCTCCTGAAGCAAATTTGAACAGTCTTTTTTTTTTTTCTTTTTTGAGTCACACCTAGAGATGCTCCTGGCTCTGCACTCAGGAATCACTCCTGGCAGTGCTCGGGGGACCCTGTGGAATGCTGGGAATCGAACCCGGGTCCGCCACGTGCAAGGTAAACGTCCTCCCCGCTGTGCTATCGCTCTGGCCCCAAAGCTAAACAGTTTTGCCTCACTCAGAATACCACTGGATTTGCTGAGTCTTCTTTTTTTAAATTATTCTTTTACTCTTATTAGTTTGTTAATTAATTTTTTAAAAAATTGAATAACAGTGAGATACACAGGAGCAAAGTTATTCAAGATTGGATTTTAGTCATATCATGTTCCAACACCCATCTCTTCACCAGAGTACATTTCCACCACAAAATATCCCCAGTTTCCCTCCAATCCACCCATACCCTGCCTCTATGGCAGGTAGTATTCTTCGCTCTCTCTCTCTCTCTCCCTCTCTCTCTCTGTCTCTCTCACTCACTCACTCTCTCTCAGACACTCTCTTTCTCTCTCTCACACACACACACACACACTTTCTCTCTCCCTCAGACACACACAGAGACACACACACACACTCTCTCAGACACACACACACACACTCTCTCTCTCTCTCTTTCTCTCTCTCCTTTTGGGCATTGTGTTATGGTTTGCGACACAGATACTGAAAAGATTATCATGTAGATGGATGGACATGGGGAGTATCATGCTGGATGAAGTGAAGAGATGGACAGATATAGAATAACTGCATTCATTTGTGGGATATTTTAAAAAGTAGATTAATATTCAAGGCCAGGGAAAACAGAGGCCAGGAAGACTGGTCAATGATTGGAAGCTATCATAAGTGTGTGTGTGTGTGTGTGTGTGTGTGTGTGTGTGTGTGTGGAGGGCAGTTAGGATAGAGAAAGGACCAGTATAATAAAAATAGTTGGAAACGGTCACTCTTGACAGGAACTGAGTGTTGAAAGGAGGTAGTAGGTTCACTTCTTTTGAGCAACGCCTTGTGCAGCCCCTGTCACAGTTTTATCTGAGTGTCCTCTTGGGCCCTTGGAATTGGAAGAATCTCTTACAGGTACACAAGTATTTGGAGAGTCACCCGCTGGCTGACAACAGGACAAATTCCCAGACACAGTAAAGTGGCCAGGAGGGCTGGTTCTGTGTTTATTTTCATGTTATAATATGATGATGGCGGGGTAGAAACTCAGTTCCACAATCCTGAGAACTGACGTAATCTGGAGAGCTCGGAGCACGGAGCTGATGGTGCCGATGCTTGAGCTTGCATTACAAGGACTTCCTCTTCCGGGAGGAAATGGAGTTTGTTGGGATGGATGTTCCCTCAACACCTTTGTTGCCTTTTTACCACCCGTGGGTGCGGGAGGAAGTAGAGCAGCTTTGATACTGCACTTCCGTGGGAGTTTTTCTTTGATGACTGTGTTCGCTTTGAGGCCAATTTCCTTCCAGGAGCCTGGAATTTCCCCATCCCCCCACCCCCCTGCCCAATGTCAGTCTCCCCAATGTTATGGAGTTTCGACTTCATCCCTACCTGTCTACTTTGTTCCTACCTCTGTAATTCTGTTTCTACCTTGTAAGATGGTAAAATAGAAGGACCGTGGGAAAGCTGTCCCCCACATCAGGAAAAAGTGGAAGGTTGGGAACAACAGTTATCAAAAGAGTAATCAAAATGCCACTCAATGCCTCTTTTGAAAACCACAACACCCAGGAGGAGAGAGAGAACAAAAGGGAATGCCCTGCCACAGAGGCAGGGTGGGAAGGATACTGGGACCCATGGAAAATGGGGACTGGTGGAGGGATGGGTATTTGATCATTGTATGTCTGAAACCCAAGCACAAAAATTTGTAAGTCTACAACTGTACCTCATGGTGTTTCACTAATAAAAATTTCAAAAAAAGTAATCAAAAGCTTTTCTTTCTGGGAGCGAGCTTAGTTCTCAGGGGGACAGGATTTCTAAAATTAGGTTTTAATTTTCTGAAGGGTGAAGCCCAAAATAGAACTTGCAGTTACTCTTACAAAATAAAAAAAAATCCTTATTAATTCATACTTTGGAACTTCTTTTACATTTTATGTATATATGATACATTATGTTTTTTGTTTTGTTTTCTTTTTGATTTTGTTTTTGCTTTTTGGGTCCCACCTGGCGATGCTCAGGGGTTCCTCCTGGCTCTGCACTCAGGAATCACTCCTGGCGGTGCTCAGGGGACCATATGGGATGCTGGGGATCGAACCCGGGTCGGCCACGTGCAAGGCCAACGCCCTACCCGCTGTGCTATCTCCCCAGCCCCATGGTCTTATTTTTAAAATATTATTGAACATCACAGTAGCCTTGATGGGGAGGAAATGGGGTTCCCATCATTATTCCTGTTCTCCCATCTGTGTGGATAAGATATTCCTCAAAGACACAGTTCATGCACTGTCTCAGAATTTTGTGCATAGATTCACAACCGTCATTATTCATGGAAGCAGGGTGACCTAACTTCATCCACACCCACGTGTTATTTCTCTGTTCACTTTTTCCTTCTATACTGACTTAATTCAATCTTCAGCCCCTCCACGCCCTATGGCTGAGGGGGTGGTACCAAGGTGTCCCCAGCACCGGTGTGCAATACCACCAGCCTCCACGAGGCGGAGGTAGTGAGAGGGGAAGCATGCCTGCAACCGCGCCTGGATGGCGCCTCCACGGGTCACGTGACATACCCATTTAAAGGCGCCAGGCCGTAATTCTCGTGCTTAAACCACGTGTTCATCTTCCTGACGTAGAGCCAGTCGGAGACGAAGCCAGGCAGGTTATTCCGGAGGAAGTTGGCAAAGCGGGTGACGTAGACCATGTCCCATGGGTAGCCGTCATCCCAGACCCGGCTCATGACCCAGGACCCACTTCGGGTGCTGATGATGACCTGGGGGCCAGGGATGGGGGAGAAGCCGCAGAAATGTTAGTATCTTCTTGTAAGAAATTTAGGTCCCACCTGGGGATGCCCAGGGCTGACTCCTGGCTCTGCACTCAAGAATTACTCCTGGCAGTGCTCGGGGGACCCTACGGGATGCCGGGGATCGAACCTGGGTTGGCTGCATGCAAGGCAAATACAAGGCTATGATTTGACCCAGGAGCAATTGCAAGGCAGAAGGGCAGAGGGCAGGTGCATGGTAGGGGGCAAGAATGAGGGTCTTGTGGGGGCTGGAGCAATAGCACAGCGGGGAGGGCGTTTGCCTTGCACACAGCAGACCCGGGTTCGATCCCCAGCATGTCATAGGGTACCCCGAGCACCGCCAGGAGTAATTCCTGAGTGCAGAGCCAGGAGGAACCCCTGAGCATCGCCAGGTGTGATCCAAAAAGAACAAAAAAAAGAGAATGAGAGTCTTGGAATCCTTTTAGGCAGATATAATCTTCAGAGGGCTGAAGCCATAGCACAGCGGGTAGGGCCAATGCGTCTTGCATGCAGCCAACGCGGGTTCGATTCCTCCATCCCTCTCAGAGAGCATAGCAAGCTACCGAGAATATTCCACCCGCATGCCAGAGCCTGGCAAGCTCCCCGTGGTGTATTCGATATGCCAAAAACAGTCACAACAGGGGCTGGAGTGATAGCACAGCGGGTAGGGCGTTTGCCTTGCACGCGGACGACCCAGGTTCGATTCTCAGCATCCCATAGGGTCCCCTGAGCACTGCCAGGAGTAATTCTTGAGTGCAGAGCCAGGAGTCAGCCCTGTGCATCGCCAAGTGTGACCCAAAAAGCATTTTAAAAAAAGTGCGGCCGAGGAGATGCTTAGAATTGAATTCTGTTTCTGGTTCCCTTTTCCAGTCCTTCCGCTATAATTCCACAGTATCTTAAACTCCACCTCGGGCCCGGCCCTCCCTGAGTCACACTCAGCCCCTGGTCTTGTTACCCCCTTCGTGAGCTTTCACTTGAAAAATGCTTGGGTTTGATCGACATGCACTGAAGGTGTCATTGCCTGCCAGCTTTCAAGGAATATTCTCCCATCAGCGTGGATAAGATATTGGATAAGAAACAATCTTTTTATTGTTGTTGTTGTTTGTTTGTTTTTGGGTCACACCTGGCCATGCACAGGGGTTCCTTCTGGCTCATGCACTCAGGAATTACCCCTGGCAGTGCTCGGGGGGGCCTATGGGATGCTGGGAATCGAACCCAACTGGCCGCGTGCAAGGCAAACGCCCTCCACGCTGTGCTATCGCTCCAGCTCCAAGATAAGGAACAACTTTTCTCCAAGAAATTGCCTTGCACACAGTTGCAGCCATGGCAGAAAATAGTCCAGGGATTTCTCGAGCCATCAATGGGGGTGTCATTTGCTGCTGCTACCCCAGGGTCAGTTATTTAGCTGGAGAAAAACAGAAGACAACCTAATGGCACAGGGAACCCGCGTGTGCAGAGCTGGGCTTAACACAACAGCCACGGGTTATGGGACACGCCAGAAAGTTGGTATTGGGAATTGGAGAGCCAAGAGGGGCATTGAACTGAAAAAGTGAAACCCAAGGCTTATCTGGAGAGACTCAGAGTCCCCCAAGATCCTGGGGTCCCCTTCTACACAGGCACTCTCTCCTGGCTTCTGCGGTGACTAGACCTGGACTTGACACTTAATATGATGCCTCTCTTGTAGCTGCCCCTAGTCAAACCTCAGCTCAGCTCGGGGTCCGAGGGGAGGTGTACAGTTGGGTGGAGGTTTTTTCCCCCCCAGAATCCTTTGCTCGGTACCTGGGCAGCCTGACGACTGAGTTCTACAGCAATGTCACACCCCGAGTTTCCCAGGCCGATCACCAGCACTCGCTTCCCCTGGAAGGCGTGGGGACCCTTGTAGTCCCGGCTGTGGAGGTACTGTCCCTGGAACTGGTCCAATCCTGCGAGGAACGGGAGGCAGTGGTTCGAGTTGATTTTCAGAAGAAATGAGCTTTTGTGTGTATGTCTATACTTTAAATTATATTTGTAATATAATATATATAATATATAGTATATCATGATATCACGGTCACGGTCCTCCCGTTGTTCATCAGTTTGCTCGAGTGGGCCCAGTAACGTCTCCATCATGAGACTTGTTGTTACTGTGTTTGGCATATCGAGTACCTCACGGGTAGCTTGCCAGGCTCTGCCATGCGGGAGAGATACTCTCGGTAGCTTGCTGGGATCTCCGAGAGGGGTGGAGGAATCGAACTCGGGTCGGCCACGTTGGCTGCGTGCAAGGCAAACGCCCTACCGCTGTGCTATCGCTCCAGCCTATATCATGATATATAATATATAATATATAACATATATTATAATATATGCCGGGCCAATGCAACTCGGCTCTTTTAGGGGCTGGAGCGATAGCACAGTGGTAGGGCGTTTGCCTTGCACGCAGCCAACGTGGCCGACCCGAGTTCGATTCCTCCACCCCTCTCGGAGATCCCAGCAAGCTACCGAGAGTATCTCACCCGCACGGCAGAGCCTGGCAAGCTCCCCGTGACGTATTCGATATGCCAAACACAGTAACAACAAGTCTCACAATTGAGACGTTACTGGTCCTATTCGAGCAAATCGATGAACAACAGAAGGACAGTGCTACAGTATTATATATGCCAGGGAGAGCCTGGCAAGCTATCCATGGCATATTAAATAAGCCAAAAACAGTAACAATAACAGGTCTCATTCCCCTGACGCTGAAAAAGCCTCCTATATGGTCGTGTTGAGAAAGACGAGTGAAAACAGGCTGCTAAAATCTCAGGGCTGGGACGAAGGGAGATGTTACTGGTGCCCACTCGAGTAAATTGATCAACAACTGGATGACAGTGATAACAGTGATACTTTATAATATATATATATCCAATTTTCGGGGTGGGGGCTCATACCCGGTGATGCTCAGGGGTTCCTCCTGGCTCTGCACTCAGGAATCACTCCTGGTGGTGCTCGGGGGACCCTATGGGATGCCGGGGATTGAACCCGGGTTGGCCACATGCAAGGCCAATGTCCTTCCCGCTGTGCTGTTGCTCCAGCCCTTATATGTCCACTTTTTAATTAACCTCCTATGAGTAGTCTTCTTTGTTTTTGTTTTGGGGTCACACCCAGCAGTGCTCAGGACTGACTCCTGGTCTGCATTCAAGAATCACTCCCAGTGGACCCCGGGGACCCTATGGGGTTCCGGGGATGCAACCCAGTTCAGTCACACGGATGGCAAACACCCTGTCCACCCTGCTTGGCCACTCTGTGTAATCAGTCTTTCTTTTTTTCTTTTTCTTTTTTTTTTCGCTTTTTGGGTCACACCCAGTGATGGACAGGGGTTCCTCCTGGCTCTGCACTCAGGAATTACTCCCGGTGATGCTTAAGGAACCATATGGGATGCCGGGAATAGAACCCGGGTCGGCCGAGTGCAAGGCCCTACCTTCTGTACTATTGTTCCAGCCCCTGTAATCATTCTTTTTATTTTTCTTTTTGGGTCACACCTGGTGATGCACAGGGGTTACTCCTGGCTCTGTACTCAGTAATTACTCCTGGTTTGTGCTCAGGGGAGCATATGGGATGCTGGGAATCGAACCCAGGTTGGCAGCGTACAAGGCAAACACCCTACCTGCTGTACCATTGCTCCAGCCCCTGTAATCACTCTTAATGTTTCAAAGTCCTCCGACTGAGTCATGGTCAGGGCTTGCTTCTGGTCGTGCTCAGGCGGTCCTGCGGTGCCAGGCCAGAGCCCAGCCTCCTGCAGGCAGGCATTACCCAAGCTCATGCACTTCAGACCCAAAGAGCTACCCCCTGGCCTCATCCACTCTTACCGGGAAAGGAACCAGTTGGCAAATTGGGGTACACGTGATGTCCGGAACAAATCATCACTCCATCAAAAGTGGAAGTCTCCTGTTTTCCATCCTTCTCTGTAACAACTTCCCACTGACCGGTGACTCTGAAGTTGGGGCATTTCTTTATACTCGAAACCAGGGTCTGAAAGAAAACCAGAAAGAAATTCCTTCTACTTATGAGTCATTCCCTTCCCCTTCCCACCCCGCTGCAGTTCATCTATGGATGGAATAATTATTACAGGTCGCAGAGAAGGACCCAGAGAAAAGTTGCAATAAAAGCCTCAAGGGTCAGTGTTCATGGACTCTTCAAATCTTACAAGAAAAAATGGCTCAGGGGTCATTTCCTTTATGACATCTGAGTGAGTTGATTTGGGGTCAGTAAGACTGAATTCTCTTGAGCGAGACACTCCCTTCTCTCATGACTGCCAACTTCCAAGGTCAGTTCAGGCTCCTTCCTTTCCTTCCCTCCCACCCCACATCCTAAATCCTCCGCCAACATAGAGAAATCCGGGGCTCAATCCTTGCTCTCTCTGCAGGGTCACTTTGTCTTGGAAAAACCAGCCTGTTTCCCTGCAAGTGTGAACATTATGTCAATATAGGTAACATCCGATCAAAATGCAAGTCCGATCAGTGCAAGCACAAGTCCTGTTTTTGCAGATGGTTACAGGCCTTTAACATTCCAACCCCAATCTCAGCACCATTACATCTTCCCTCCACCATTGTCTCCCAATTTTCCCAACCACACCTCATAGGAGGCCCTTCATAACTTCATTAATTAATTAATTAATTAATTTTTTGCTTTTTGGGTCACACCCGATTTGCTCGAGCGGGCCCAGTAACGTCTCCATTGGAGACTTTGTTGTTACTGTGTCTGGCATATCGAATACTCTCGGTAGCTTGCCGGGCTCTCCGAGAGGGGCGGAGGAATCGAACTCGGGTCGGCCATGTTGGCTGCGTGCAAGGCAAACGTCCTACCGCTGTGCTATCGCTCTAGCCCGGCGATGCACAGGGGTTACTCCTGGCTCTGTACTCAGGAATTACTTCTGGCCATGCTCAGTTGACCATGTGGGATGCTGGGGATCAAACCTGGGTGGGGCCACGTGCAAGGCAAACACCCTACCCACTGTGCTATCACTCCAGCCCCAAATAATTTATTTTATTAATTTTTTTAGCTTTCAGGTCACACCCAGTGATGCACAGGGGTTACTCTGCACTCAGGTATTACTCTTGGCGGTGCTCAGGGGACCCTACGGGATGCTGGGAATTGAACCTGGGTCGGCTGCATGCAAGGCAAACGCCCGCCCCGCTGTGCTATTGCTCCAGCCCCAATAATTTCTTTATTATTGCTTGTCTTCGATAATTTGCTAACAGGATGATCAAAAAAATGTTTCCTTAGAAGGAAGTGAGTGAAGATTGTATATCCCACCAGGAAACCATTAAGTCCTGGTGTAACAGGTAACTAAGATGTTATAGCAGGTAAAGCCTTTTGGGTGTGGTTTGTTTGATTTATTTTTATTTTTTGCTTTTTTGGGTCACACCTGGCAATGCACAGGGGTTCCTCCTGGCTTTGCACTCAGGAATTACTCCTGGCGGTGCTCAGGGGCCCATGTGGGATGCCGGGGATCGAACCCGGGTCAGTCGCGTGCAAGGCAAACACCCTACCTGCTGTGCTATCGCTCCAGCCCCAGCCTTTGGGATATATATTTTGTCAGTAGAGATTGGGAGAGCCAGTATTTTCTCAGGGATTTCAAAATAACTCCCTGGTGGGTGAACATGGTTTTTTTTTTTTCTGCTTTCAATATTTTATTTATTTATTTATTTATTTTTATTAGTGAAACACCATGAGGTACAGTTGTAGATTTACAAATTTTTGTGCTTGGGTTTCAATTATACAATGATTGAGTACCCGTCCCTCCGCCAGTGCCCATTTCCCACCACCACGGGTCCCAGTATCCCTCCCACCCCCCATCCTCCCATCCCACCCTGCCTCTGTGGCAGGGCATTCCCTTTTGTTCTCTCTCTCCTTTTGGGTGTTGTGGTCTGCAAAACAGGCATTGAGTGGCAATCATGGGGTGAACACGTTTAGGGGGGCAAAAGACACGGAGTTTGGGGAGCTATTGAATCCCACCCTCTCCCGTTGGTTCTGATTTCTAGAACAGAAAGCTGGTTTTTTTTTTTTTTTGCATCCTCCTCAAGTCCATAAACAATGGACACCCATGGCCTTGGGGCCCCTTACCTCAAACTGTATGTACCTCAACAGGTCCTTCTTCTGGGCAAATGACTTTATGTACGCCTGAAGCTTGGTATGATGCATATAATTGGGGTAGTCATCCGGGTACGGGAAATCCGGGTAACACATCATCTCCTTGCAAGAGTTGGTGAACACAGATTGGTAGATGCTGGCCCGGCCTTCTTCGGCTTGGTCCTGTGATGGATGACAAAGATGACAAAGTCTGCTGAGGAAGACACAGAAACTGCTCCCTTCGATAAAGATTCAGTTACTTTTTTGTTTTTGTTTTTGCTTTTTGGGTCCCACCGGCGATTCTCAGGGCCGAGTCCTGGCTCTGCATTCAGGAATCACTCTTGGTGGTGCTTGGGGGACCCTCTGGGATGCTGGGGATCGAACCCGGGTCAGCTGCGTGCCAGGCAAATGCCCTCCCTGCTGTGCTATCATTCCAGCCCCCCAGAGATTCAATTCTTAGATGATTGAATTATTTAAAAACAGCCAAAGAAGACTGGGGGTGTTGCTCAGTGGTCAGAGCGCTTGTCGTGTTTGTGTTCATGTGAGGATCTGACTTAGATCTCTTGACACCGCAAAAACAGTGCCCCACCCAGTCCCTCCAAAAATAAAACAACAACAAAAAAAACCTCCTCAACTCTCCCCACTGCTAAACCTTGAACCCAGATCTCTGCAAGTTCCGGGAAGGAAAGCCTTCAGCTTATCTTTTTTTTTTCCCTTTTTGGGTCACACCCAGCAATGCTCAGGGGTTACTCCTGGCTCTGCACTCAGGAATTATTCCTGACAGTGCTCGGGGGACCCTCTGGGATGCCAGGGATCGAACCCGGGTTAGCCGCATGCAAGGCAAACGCCCTCCCCACTGTGCTATTGCTCCGGCCCTGCCTTCAGCTTATCTTGCAAAGCTGACTACCCCCTGTTTAGCTCTACAAGCTTCAAGTCCCACATTTTCTTTCATGGTTTAACCCTGACGCTGATCTCCTGCTCACGTTAAGAAAACACAGAATAGTGACACAGTGACAGTACAGCGGGGAGGGCACTGGCCTTGCACACGGCCGACCCGGGTTCAATCCCCGGCATCCCATAGGGTCCCCCTGAGCACTGCCAGGAGTGATTCCCTAGTTCAGAGCCAGGAGGCACCCCTGAGCATCGCCAGGGGTGTCGCCCAAACAAATAAACAAACAAAAAAATCTGTCATTGTCACTATCCTCCTGTTGTTCATTGATTTGCTCGAGCGGGCCCAGTAAAGTCAACATTGTGAGACTTGGTTGTTACTGTGTCTGGCATATCGAATACGTCGTGGGCAGCTTGCCAGGCTTTGCTGTGCGGGCGAGATACTCTTGGTAGCTTGCTGGGCTAGGAATGTAATTTTTCTTTCTGTTCCTTGCCTTCAATCAAAAATAGGGGGGAAAAAAGGAATAAAATAAAACCCCAACACCGTAGCACCTCCTGAGGAGTTTGTATCTCTCAGCCTCATTTGGTGATTTCTAAGAAGCTTCTTTTTCTCATTCCTACTTTGGACAACCAGGCAGGCTACCGAATGTCGCCTGCCCACAGGGCAGAGTCTGGCAAACTCCCCGTGGCGTCCCCAATATGCCAAATACCAGTAACAATGAAGGGTCTCATTCTCCTAACCATGAAAGAGCCTTGAATGTGGCACTTTTTAAAAAAATCTCAGGGCTAGGACGAAGGAGACGTTACTGGGGCCTGCTCGAGGCAATCGACGAACAACAGGATGGTCGTGATCGTGATCATTAGGTGGAAGACTGGATTGGAAATTCAACTTTTTCTTAGGGGGCCGACTGTAGGTGGGGGGGGGGTTGTTGAACCACATCCCACAGTCCTTAGGGTGACTCCTTGCTCTGTGCTCAGAGGGACAGAATTGGGGTTCACAGGAAGGCAAGCACCATCCTTCCTGCACCCTCGCCAGCCTGGAGACCCCCTTTGCCCTCCAGGTCACTTACTCAGACCATTGTCCCTTCTCTGGGCTCGCCCCAATTCTGCAGAGAGACTCACCAAGCGAACGAGAATGACTACCAGATTCAAAACCCCTCCCCCTCCCCCCCCACCCCGGTGAACATCTGGAGACAGAAAGAAAGTGCTGGAAAGAATAGCAAAAGGGGGCCAGTGGGAGGCCTCGGGGTTGGAAAGAAAACTTCCTCTGCCTCCTGGGCGTCGTGTTTCTCCGAAATAGGCATGTCCAGAGATTTGTTGGTCTGGCTTCTTTCCTGCCCAACCCAGAACGGGTGGGAGTTGGTGTTGGCCCTGCTTTTTGACTTCCTCTTTCCTGTCTAGCGCTGGAGGGTAACTTTGGGATGCGGGGTGGGGAGAAGTGGGGTTCTCAGCGGCCCACGGATGAGCAGGAGAGAGGCTGAGACCGGGAAGTCTGTCCTGCAGCGCTGGGCGCGAACCTGGCAACCCTTGGATCATTGCCCCCGAGTGGAACCGTGTCTGCACGGCCGCTGAGTCCTGTGGAATTTTCCTCCGTCCAGGCTGGTTTCCAGGTCAGGGCAAAACACACGGGTTACACAAGCACAGACAATAGCTCCAACGGGCGCCTGTTTTGTTTAGGAGTTCACTGTGTCACGGGCTTGCATCCAGGAAGGAGGAAATGGAGCTCAGATTCGGTCTCTGGCCTGGAGACTCAAGGCCAGCTGCAGTGAGCATCACCCCCGGCTTATCACAGTTCCCGTCTCTCAGACAGCGTTTCTCAGGAAAGGCCTCTGCAAGAGAAGCGGCTGGAGGGCCAGGCCAGAGGCCACGGCGCAGAGAACGCCAGGCACGCAGCAGTCAACCTGCTGTATCTCTGAGCTCCATGTCCGGCATTTCTGCTGGTCAAAACCAACCTGCAAGGTCCAGCTCAAAAGTTCATGCCCTTGGGGCCAGAGCCATAGCACAGCGGAGAGGGCATTGGCCTTGCAGACCCGGGTTCGATCCCCAACATCCCATAGGGTCCCCTGAGCACCGCCAGGAGTGATTCCTGAGTGCAGAGCCAGGAGGAACCCCTGAGCATCGCTGGGTGCGACCCCAGAATAAAAAAAGAAAAACAGGTTCATGCCCTTCCCTGCTTCCCTCTCCCCAGATAGATGCAGTCTTGGCATTCAGCTGGTCCTCAGCTTCACGTCTCTTAGTTATTCTAGCACCCATTTTTCTCTCCATTGTGAACGCCCTGACCATTTGCCTGATGTCCCTGCAGCCAGCTAGACCCCCAATCAAGAGTGTGTGTGTGTGTGTGTGTGTGTGTGTGTGTGTGTGTAATGCTATGCAACTATTAGGAAAGATGAAGTCAGGAAATTTGTCTATAGCTGGATGGACACAGAGAGAATCGTGCTGAGTGAAATGAGTCAGAAGGAGAGGGACAGATATAGAATGACCGCATTCATTTGTGGGATCACAACAATCACAACATTCACAACCATCCTGTTATTCGTCGATTGCCTCGAGCAGGCCCCAGTAACGTCTCCTTCGTCCTAGCCCTGAGATTTTTTTTTTTAAAGTGCCATATTCAAGGCTCTTTCAGGGTTGGGAGAATGAGACCCATCATTGTTACTGGTATTTGGCATATTGGGGACGCCACGGGGAGTTTGCCAGACTCTGCCGTGTGGGCAGGTCACATTCGGTAGCCTGCCAGGTTGTCCAAAGCAAGAATGAGATAATAAGATGTCGCGCGGCCGCATTTGTGGCCACACGCTTCCGGGAGCTGGGTTTTATAGTCATCATTTGTGGGATGTAAAGAATATATATAGTAGAAGACTAATATCCAAGGCCAGGGAAAACAGAAGCTAGGAGGACTGGTCAGTGGTTGGAATCAACCATGAGTGCGTGTGGGGCGGAGGGCAGATCAGAGAGAGAAGGGACCAGGATGACAGTAATAGCTGGGAAGGGTCACTCTGGACAAGAGCTGAGGGTTGGAAGTAGGTAAAGGAATATTCCTGATAACCTTTCAGTATCTGTATTAGAAACCACAATGCCCAAAAGGAGAGAGAGAGAGACAGAGACAGAGAGAGACAGAGACAGAGAGAGACAGAGACAGAGAGGTGCCTGCCATAGAGGCAGGCTGGGGTGGGGGTGATGGGAGGGAACCTGGGGACCCGGGTGCTGGGAAATGTGCCCTGGTGGAGAGATGGGTGTTGGACACTGTTTGACTGAAACCCTATCATGAACAGCTTTGGAAGGTTCTATTTCACAGAAATTCAACAAAAAAGGATAGAGAAAGAGAGAGAGAAGAGAAGAGAAGAGAAGAGAAGAGAAGAGAAGAGAAGAGAAGAGAAGAATGTATGTTGAGTGAATGCACTGTTGAATGAGTGAGAAGAATGAATTCTGGAGAATTCTGGTCACATCATTTTGTCTTGTGCCTTCCAAATGATCTGTCAGGGCTGAATGGAACCATACATGCAATGCTCAGGGCTGACTCCTGACTCTGCACTCTCAGACCTGGTGGAGCTCAGGGGACCACATGCGTTTCTGGGCATAAGAACCAGGGTCTGAGGTGTGCAAGGCAACTGCCTTAGATCCTGTCCTGTCTCTCCAGGCCCTGTCCTCTTGGCTACAGCCTGAGGACAGTGGCATGAACAGCTCTGGAGGACACGTGGCCCTGGATTCCAGCACGGGGAAACTAGAAACCTGTACATATGCTCTCGTCTCTGGTTTCAACTCCATTTGCATTTCATTTTTCAGAAAGAATTTTTAAAAAAAAGCATCAGGTGAAAAGTTCAGCATTATCCGATTTCTCTCTTCCGGAATATCTTCGGTCGAACAGGACTGACCAGATGAGATGGGACCCAATGCCCATTCTTAAAGGCCTCCAGGGTCACCCTGGTCCCAGGCACTGCATTTTAGAAAAAGGAGGGGAGGATTGGCAGTGGGGGGATAGGGGAGGACGGTTCAGATGTCGGTGCCTGCGTTGAAATTCCCACGGGCCCTTGGGTAATGATTCTGCCTCTCGTCAATGAACGTTTGGAAAAGCAACGTTTCCTTGGCGTGAATGATCTAGAGTCTGCGTCTTATAAATCTCCCACCTGCCTTTGCCTTTGATAAATTTTCTTTTTTTTTTTGTTCTTATTTTTGCTTTTTGGGCCACACCTGGCAATGCACAGGGCTGATTCCTGGCTCTGCACTCAGGAATTACTCCTTGGTGGTGCTCGGGGGGCCATATGGGATGCTGGGAATCGAACCTGGGTCTGCCGTGTGCAAGGCAAAGGCCTCTGTATTATCGCTCCAGCCCCTCTCTTGAAATTTTAAAATTATGTCCATGGCCCATACCTCCTGGTGACATTATTTCTCCAGCACGGAGACTGAATGGGCCAGAGAATCATTTTTTCTTTCTGGCTTTGGTCGTGACAGAGTCTTCAATAAAACGCCCACAACATACAACCCGTCGTCATTAATAGTCACCCGCTAGGTCAGCCCCCGAGGTGGGAGTTGATTCTAGGGTTCTGTCCTCTGAGGACTGGAAGGCATGCTGGGGGGGGGGGGGGTAACTTCCTTTTCACTCTCCACGCTGGACAAACTAGCATTCGTGGTCCAGAAAGGAAACAAAAGTGACTCGCCTAAAATCACTCTGCCCAGGAAGATGAAGAGTGGAGATGAGAAGTCGGTGCCTCTCACTCTAGTCTGGACTGTTCTTGAACACACATTCACGTACCAGGATTTCAGAGCCACCCAGAGTGAGTTAGGAAAGGGAGGTTCAGGTTTCACCTGGAGTCCAAAGCTCTGTCTTGCAAGGAGAGAGAGAGAGAGAGAGAGAGAGAGAGAGAGAGAGAGAGAGAGAGATAGGGAGAGAGAGAGTGAGAGAGATAGGGAGAGAGGGAGAGAGAGGGAGAGAGTGAAAGAGAAAGGGAGAATGTGAAAGAGAGGGAGAGATAGAGGGAGAGAGAGGAGAGAGAGGAGAGAGTGAGAGAGGAAGAGGGAGAGAGGAAGAGAGAGGGAGAGAGAGGGAGAGGAGGGAGAGAGAGAGGGAGGGAGAGGAGAGGAGAGGAGAGGAGAGGAGAGGAGAGGAGAGCAGAGGAGAGGAGGGGAGGGGAGGAGAGGGGAAGGGAGGGGAGGGAAGGGGAGGGAAGGGGAGGGGAGGAAAGGGGAGGGAAGGGGAGGAGAGAGAGAACAGAGACATAGAGAGACAGAGAGAGGGAGAGAGAGAGAGGGAGAAAGACACACAGAGAGGAGAGGAAAAGAGAGAGAGAAGGAGAGGAGAGGAGAGGAGAGGAGAGGAGAGAGAGGAGGGGAGGGAAGGGAAGGGGAGGGAAGGGGAGGGAAGGGGAGGGAAGGGGAGGGAAGGGGAGGAGAGAGAGAACAGAGACATAGAGAGACAGAGAGAAGGAGAGAGAGAGAGGGAGAAAGACACACAGAGAGGAGAGGAAAAGAGAGAGAGAAGGAGAGGAGAGGAGAGGAGAGGAGAGGAGAGACACACACAGAGACAGAGGGAAGAAAGAGACAGAGAGAGATAGACAGAGGGAGGGAGAGAGAGACAGAGAGAGAGGGAGGGAGAGATAGGGGGAGAGGAAGAGGGAGAGAGGGAGAGATAGGGAGAGAGAGAGGGAGAGAGTGAAAGAGAGGAGGGAGGGAGAGAGGGAGAGGGATAGAGGGAGGGAGGGAGGGAGAGAGAGATATTCCAGGACATGTTCCCCGCCCCCCGGCATGAAAGATCACTGAAACTGGGGCGCACTGGGTGTTGGGAGAGACGAATTTTCCCTCCCAGCTCTGCCGTGCTCTCTGAGGGAGCCTCTCGCGAGCCCCAGCCAGGACCAGAACTGGTCAAACTTGGTTTTCCCCAGAACCCACCTCCCCACCGCCACGGCATCCCACTCACCGAGAAATTCCAGAGGCCCCCAACATCATTGCCCCTCTCGAAGCAGGTGGGTTCCAGGCCCTCCTCCAGACAGCTCCGGATGGAGGCCAGCCCACTGACCCCTGCCCCGACGATGGCCACTCTCTTCCTCATGGGCGCCAGGGGATGGTCAGAACAGGAAGTCCCCGGGAGACGACTCTGCACTGCCGACAGCAAGGCCTGGCCTCACCTGCACCCAACGACACACAGACACACACGAACGTGTCTCCTGCTGCCCACACACTTGCCATAATACGTCTTTTAGTTTTCTTTGGGGGTCCCACCCGGGGATGCTCAGGGCTGACTCTTGACCCTGCGCTCAGGAATCTCTCCTAGCGGTGGCCGGGGGACCCTATGGGATGCTGGGAATCGAACCCGGGTCGGGTGATTGCCAGGTCAATGCCCTCCCCGCTGTGCTATCACTCTGGGCCTATGTTTGCATAGTAGAACAGTAGACCTGCTCCTTCTAGAGGATTCTAGACACCCAAAATCGCAGAGGTGAATACCAGCGTGGGAAGACCCTTGACCCAGACAGCATCAAGACTAGAACTAGGCACCAGAATTAGGGTGTCAAACGGCTGCCTGCAACCCACTGACCCAATCCCCCCAACTCACGTGCGATGTCTGGGGTGGGTGGGTGGGGGCTCACTCTCAAGTGTCTACTTCTGCTCCCCAAAGCACGAGGCTGTCCGTCTCCAAATATTCAGGGGAGTGACTTTTAACGGCGCCCACTGATGTAAGGCTGGGTAGGGGAGGAGTTAGTCCTCTAAAGTACAAATTCCACGGTGCAGAGCCCGGGCAAAACTTGGAATCGAAGAACTGTGTGCCAGAGGTTGGAGGGGGGTAGGGAGGGGTTTGGGGGAGCCGAGGAAGAAAGGGATGGGGGTGGGAGGTCAACCCGGGGGTCCCGGGTTTCAGAAATACAGAACAGTCAACAGATACAGATACGGGCCAGGTGATGCCCCCCGGAGCTTAAAGGAACAAAGCTTCCCTTATTTATTTATTTCTGCTTGAGAAGAGAAAAAGAAAACAAAGATTTTGCACCTGGTTGGTGTGAAAGAACTGTTGTGCCAACAGTGGGGAAAAATAAAACTCAAGTTTCAGGAAGTTTAGGAGGGTGTGACTTCAGGGAGGGAGCTAACGCTTCAGCTCATTTGTGAAACCGTGAACTCACAGCACAGAACTCGAACCCCTTCCCGTTCCGATATCCCACCTTCCCCCATCCTCGAGACCTCCCTTCCCCTCTCCCGTTCACCTCCTAGAGTGCCCACCTTGTGCCAGCCACGGAGTAGTTCTCTGGGGAGTTCCCCAGGGAGAAAACGGGGTGGTTTCCTTCCAGATGCAGAATCAGGGAGCCGGAGTGATAGCACAGCGGGGAGGGCGTTGGCCTGGCACACAGCCGGCTGACCCGGGTTCGATCCCCGGCATCCTTTCGGGTCCCCTGAACACCACCAGGAGTGATTCCTGAGTGCAGAGCCAGGAGTCAGCCCTGAGCATCGCCGGGTGTGACCCAAAAGCAAAACCAACCAACCAACCAAAACCAAACTCAGAAGGCCGTGAACTGCATCCTAAGTGATGGGGCCCAGCTAGAGCCCCCAGTGCCCTGGGAGACCCCCTTAAAACACTCATTGCGGGGGGCTGGAGCAATCGCACAGCGGGGAGGGTGTTTGCCTGGATTCAATTCCCAGCATCCCATAGGGTCCCCTGAGCACCGCCAGGAGTAACTCCTGAGTGCAGAGCCATGAGGAACCCTAACTTTTTTTTGGGTGTGACCCAAAAAGAAAAAAAAAGCAGAATCTGGCGGGTGGGTGGAGGGGGGTGGAGAGAGATGAGTCAAGGGGAGTGGGAACGATATAGGGTCACCTCTCACGCCGGGATGTCTTGGGACTCAAGAGGAAGTGAAGAGAGAGCCGAGCTATAAAGGAAGTGTCTGTGTCTGCCCCTTGATGATGGACCAAGCAGAGGCGTTGAGAAGAAGGTGTTGAGAAGAAGGACCCCGGAGCTCCATGCCACTCACTCATGCATCTGAAGCGAGAACAGCGGGTGAGAGGCTGAGCCGTCCGAATTCGTGAGCAGGACCCAGGTGATGAAGGAAGGGGAAGTAGGTCGAGACCCTCCTCCGCAGAACGTTCCCTTTGCTGAACACAACGGGGGAAAGATCGGATCAGAATCCTGACTCTATCACAGAAGGTTCTTTGCAGAGACGCTGGAGACCCTCCTCAGAATCGGGAGATGGAGAAGGCGTGGGCATGAGAGGGATTTGGGATAGAAGAAATGTGGGGATTCCTGGATGGAGCAGAAGTTGGACAACGCTTCAAAGGTGCTTTGATAGTTTTAATTTGTGACCTCCGGGTGTAGCCCCTCAAGGTATCGTAAAAACCGTTTGTTTTCTTGAAGCAACGGGACCAAGGACGAGATGCTGGTGATAGACCCAAGGGCAGACACCAGGGCGCCTTGTCCGTTTACAAAAGTCACCAGCAAGTAGCCGGAAGTCACAGGAAAGGCAGGGCACACGTGAAATTTGGCTCGAGTTAGCATGCACGTCGACCCTGGCGTTGAAATTCAGCCTCCGCTTCCTTTATCCAATGTCTAGCTCATGAAAAGCAGCTAAAAGGCATCGGATTGCAGGGAAGTCCTAGAAATTGCAGTATTTGTTGGGGTTGGAGCGATAGCACAGCGGGGAGGGTGTTTGCTTTGTACTCGGCCCACCTGGGTTCGATCCCCGGCATCCCATAGGGTCCCCCGAGCACTGCCAGGAGTAATTCCTGAGTGCAGAGCCAGGAGTCAGCCCTGAGCATCACCGGGTGGGACCTGAAAAAAAAAAAAACTCCAGTATTTATCTTCTCTGTCCTTGTGAAGTAGGAGGGAGCCCTACTTGTGAAGTGGGACCCATAGGACTTGGTGGCGTCTTGGTGGCTTCCGTGGAAGGCTCCCCGTCTCTGTGAAATGCCACCAAATGTCATTCTCTGGTTGTAAAATGCATATTTTCAGGCTGCAGATTCCTCTGCTAGGGGAATCCTGGTTCGCGTCTTGTGATTTGGTTTTTGGGTCACACCCGGTGATGCACAGGGGTCACTCCTGGCTCTGCACTCAGGAATTGCACCTGACAGTGCTCGGGGGACCCTATGGGATGCTGGGAATCGAACCTGGGTCGGCCACGTGCAAGGCCAACGCCCTCCCCGCTGTGCTATCGCTCCAGCCTCGCAAGGGCTTTTTAACGTGAGCCTGTACTGAACGGAGTTTCCATATCGAAGGTCGTGTCCCCCCACACCCCAACATTGTAAATGCCAAGGTTGTATGGGCACAGTAATAGACACACTTAAGTTTGGAAGATGACTCTCCTGGGGAAATCTCGCCACAGACTCAAACTATAGTGCTCGGGCCAGACTCATCATTTCTAACGCCAGCAGGGTGTAAATATAGTTATTGCTTTTTAGATCATGACAGAATTTGTCCATGACCATGCCCTTAACTTATAATTAAGCATTATGGCTCTTTGGCCTGGCCCGTTTCGATACCAGGGTAGCTCACAGCTTGCCCTGGGTCCATCCAGTCCCTCGCCGGGGACCCTGCTTTGGGGGGTCTTGGAAGTAAGGGCAGCTGAGGCTTAAGTCGAGAGAGCAGATGTCCAGGAGGTGATATTGTCTGGAGTCAATTAACTCCCAAGTTACAGGCTTGTCTTTTTAACTGTCTTCCTGTGTCCATACAAAAAGGGTTACCAGTGGTGTCAGAACTCTTCTTTCTTATTTCTGTCGAGATATTTTGCATTTCCTATGATGTATGCGCTTAATTTTCTCTCCTTAAGCCCCCAGTGAGGATTGGAGACCGAACAGGAACTCCATCAGGAAATGCTGATGTGGTTTGAGGAGACCTTTTAAGTAACACAGAACAATGAATCAATTCATTTCCCAGTATATTTTATTATTATTATCATCATCATCATTATTATTATTATTTAAAAAAGAACTATATATTTTTTAAAAAATTTTAATTTTTACTTTAAAAATTTTTTATTAGTGAATCATCGTGGGGTACAGTTACAGAATTAAAAACTTTCTGTGCTTGCGTTTCAGTCATACAATGATCGAGTACCCATCCCTCCACCAGTGCCCATTCTCCACCACCAATGATCCCAGTATTCCTCCCCACATTCCATCCGCCCCTCTCCACCCCACCTCTGAGGCAGGGCATTCCCCTTTAGAACTAGATCTTTTATTTGTGTTTTTTTTTCATTTTTTGCATTTTCATAAGGTTGTTCACATTAATTGATTCCATTCAATGCTTCAACACCAATCCCACCACCTTTATTTCAAATTTTCCCACCACCATTCAAGCCTGCCTGCCACAGGAAGAGGCTAGATCATTTGTTTTCTATTGCTTATTCATGATCACGATCATCCTGTTGTTCCTCGATTGCCTCGAGCAGGCACCAGTAACGTCTCCTTCGCCCTAGCCCTGAGATTTTAAAAAGTGCCACATTCAAGGCTCTTTCAGGGTTAGGAGAATGAGACCCATCATTGTTACTGGTATTTGGCATATTGGGTACGCCACGGGGAGTTTGCCAGACTCTGCCGTGTGGGCAGGTGACATTCGGTAGCCTGCCAGTTTGTCCAAAGTAAGAATGAGATAATAAGATGTTGTGTGGACGCGTTTGCGTCCGCGCACTTCTGGGAGCTGGGTTTTATAGTCTCTGGGTCTTGGCCGTTGATGGGATTACACGGCGCCAGGGGGCCAGTTGGTGGGTGTGCTCCCTGCCTACTGGAAGATGGAGGATCTGGGTGGAGGATGCTCAGACCCAATCCGAGCAGGCTTGGAGATCTCAGCCCCGGGATCCACATGCCTTTGTTCCTCTGCCGGTACCTTCATGCGTGTGGAGAGTGGTCTCAGCATCGTGGTGGCTGGTTCTGGAGGTCTTCGGCTGCTGGAGCTCTGCTGGGGGCGGGGAGGAAAACTCAACCCGCCCACCTCCAAGGCGCGGGGGCAGGAGACTCTGCTTATTATGAAAGGATATTTTATTTTATTTTGGTATTTATTTATTTGTTTGTTTATTTTGATAGCACAGAGGGTAGGGAGTTTGCCTTGAATGCAGCCAACCCAGCCGACCTGAGTTCGATTCCTCCGCGCCTCTTGCAGAGCCCGACAAGCTACCGAGAATATCTCACCCTCACGACAAAACCTGGCGAGCTCCCCGTGACATATTTGATATGCCAAACACAGTGACAAGTCTCACAATGTTACTGGGCCCGCTCGAGCAAACTGATGAACAGCAGGAGAATAGTGACAGTGACAGTGATTTATTTATTTATTTATTTTTCTGCCAGGATATTTTTAGACCCGCTGATATCTCAGGAAGAGGAATCTGGAACTGACTTTTTTTGTTTTGTTTTGTTTTGTTTCTATTTTAGATCAGGAATCCCTCGAGCTGTTCTCCCTCTATTTGAGCCTGAGCTCCTCTGCTATGACTACAGGGCAATCAGCATGGGACACTTTGGGGTCAGTTCCGGTTGCAAAACACAAACACATTTGTTGTGTTATGTAAAAGTCGTTTCGGGACTTGGACCCACGAATCAGGAATCTCTGCTGGATTTCGACACACATCTGAATTCCACTTGGGTTGTGTGAGGGGTCAGGAAGACTGTGAATTAGAGGACAAAATGTTGCCTGCGTTTGAGGTGAGGGCAGTGAGGTCACAACCA